ATTAAGGGCCTCTTGTCAGCTCAGAAATACATTCCACAGACTACCGGCCAGGAAGAGCGTGTTCCTTTCCAGATAAGTCACCAACTCTGAAACAAACATGTAACATAAGAGCTCATTGTCACAAAATTCCACCAGAAATATTACACACAGTTCAAGTAAATTACATCTGGTTTCTGTGTATTAATTTTGTGTTAAATTTCTTCTTCGCTTACTTAATAGATATTTGTGGTATTTAGCTTAAACCCAAGAGTTACACTAAAAGTTATTTGAAAGAGAATTCTTTAGCTTCCTCCTAAATTTAGGTTGTAAGACTTGCAGTTTATTATTCTAAATTATATTTATCATTTACTTTGAAATAGTGTCTCTAAAATAATCAGTAGTGTTTTGAACCAAACTGTATATAATCTGAAAAGTCTTTTATATCTTTTAGTATTCTTTATGTCAGATTTATGTATTCATCTGACACTTAGAAGTCTTATTAGTCAGAACTCTTTTAGATGCAAATGACTGAAACCCAACTCAGCCAAACAGAAAGGGGAAATTGGTTGAAAGAAACCAGAGCATCTTAAAACCAGAGGAAAATCTAGCGACTTAAACTGAGGGAAATGACAGCTGGAGCTTGGGAACAAGTAGAATCAGAAATTAATGCTGTTAGGAGACTTTCTGTGACTCTCCCCTGCAAGTTGGCTTCATTTTTTGGTGACAGACTGGCTTCTCTGTGGCAGGAAATATGGCGCCACTGCCTCCAAAGCCTCACGCTCCATAGGTCCTGCTCCTGGGAACAGATCCCGAGGTCAGCCAGGCTCTGCAGCAGCCACAGCAGTAGCAGCCGATGGCCAGGCGTGATGTAAATGTTTCGCTTCTCTTCACCAGCCTGAGGTGATGAACCCTCTGCAGCAGATGTGCATTATTATGTACATTTCATGGGTGAGAACAGTGAGGCGTGGAGAAGTGAGGAGTCTTGACTAAAGTCACAAGGATGCCAAGTGGCAGAGTAGGGTTTGAACCCAGGCAGTCCGGTACCTACCAGAACTGACAATTGGCAGTTATATCATAGTCACTGAGATCAGTCACATGGAGGTGATGGAAGGCTTTGTTTTGTTTATTTTTGGCTGAAGAGTTAAACTATGCAAGACAGGGATATAGTTTTAATTTTTTTGTTTATCCTTTTAAAAAAAGATATGACAACTGATATTATAATGAACTGTTTTCAGATCTTTGAAAAGTTTCATGAATGTTTGTTCAGGGAGACACACATGGTGTGTGTTGCCCACGCTGCATCTGTCCTGTGTGCTGTATGGTAGAGGGACTTGCTATATTGGACCTCATTGTACTACATCGGTGCTTCTCAACCAGGGGTGAGTTCGCTCCCCAGGGGTCCTTTGGCAATACCTGGAGTCATTTTTGGCTGTCACAACTTGTGTGATGAGTTGCTACTGGCATCTAGTGCCTACAGGCTCAGGATGCTACTAAAGATCCTACCATGTGAGACAGCCCCCCTTCAACAAAAGACTTATACAGCCCCCAATATTAATAGTGCTGGGAGGTTGAGAAACCTGTGCTAGATAAACTGGGCTGTTTTCAAACTAAGAGTATAATTGGGATGAAGAGGCAAGAACTCCTAAATCTGAGCACTTGTGGAGAGTGAGTGGACCCTGACCAAGTAGGAAGCAGGGTGTGTGGTGCAGGGTCACATTAGCCGAGGGCTCCTCGAAGGAAGGACTAAATAAATAGTAAAGAAGTTTGCAGGAGGGCATGGAGGAAAATGGAGCAAATTTGGCTAGTTTCGATATTTTCTCTGAGGATCAACTGTCTGCATACAAGTAAAAAAGTAAGGCATCTCTTCCAGCTCCCTCCCTTCTGTACCTGATGATGCTCTCATAGGATTAATTTTAGGACAGCATTTCAGCAATGTTCTTGACAAAAATGGGCTACAAACGGGCTTTGTGATTTACTCTGATTTATAACATTGAAATTGATTTGAATGGAAGACTGATTTGTATTCAAAGAAATAGGGCCATTATTGTTTTTTAAAACTTATTTTGTGGTTTTTGGGCTGCAATGATAACAGCCAACATTTATTAAATGCTTTCTGTGTGCCATATACTGTGCTAAGCCAGTACCTGATCTCATTGAACTCGCGTAATAGCCCTTTAAGATAGTTACTCTGATTGTGTATGTTTTACTGATGAAGAAAATGAGTTCCAGAAGGTTAACTAGCATTCTCAAGGTCAGACAGCTAGCCAGCTAGGGTTGGAATTCTGCTTGGATTCCATAGACTCAACTCCTAACACCAAGTGGTGGGCTGCCGTTTTCCTCTTAAAGATAGTTACGTCTTTTCTCATGCTTATTTTCCATCCATACATTTTAGTAACACTAGGCAATTATTTGTATATTTGGTCTCAGTTCTTTTTAGTAAGAGAATTTTTATGTGTTTGGGAACAGATAGTCCATACATATTCGAAAACTTTTTTAAAATTAAAGCTGTGAAATATTCCATTTCCAAGTGGTTCTCCCAAAAATCTATTGAATAAATTTAGTAATCAAATTGAGGCAATTATTTGGATGTGATGATTTTGGAAAAATGCTTATATTTTATATATATAAAAATGGTTGCTATTGCTAAACTTTTTACAATGTATAAGATGAAATAGTTCCTTCATAGTTTTTATCTCAGCTAATCCATTTGTGTAAAACATTGTATAAAATCTTTGCAGTGAAATTTTGTATAATAGAGATTTTCATATCAAAAATAAGATCGATCCCTACCTCTCCCATTGGGGGAATATCGTTTTAGAAGAGAAGGACCCATCATTATTTACCAAGTTCGTGAATAAATTAGATGGCTTTTCTAATTTCTAAGAAATGTGTGTGTTAGTCCAAAGTTAGACTCTGAATTCGAAAGCAAATAACTGTTACACGTATACTGTTATTTCCACTTTGGGAAGTTTAAAGTTAGGAACGTATGCCATTGTCAGGGGAATAGGTGGAGGAAAGGGGGACAGCACAGGTGGCCAGAAGGGCTAACTGTTTTCAAACTTCTTTAATGGGGGATGAGTACTAAGGTGTCTTCTTTCATTGATAAAAAAGACTGTTACTGTTATGTTTGCTTTAATTTTATTTGCCAGCAGTTCCATATTTGAGAAAAAGTATTGAGATTGGGGGAGGGGAGGGGAGGTTACCTGTGATACCATAGCAGCTTCCAGGTTTGAACCTGGTTTCCTGGATGTTCTGACATCACCTTCCACCTCCATCCTCACGGAGTCATAGCAAATTTGGGGGCAAGATTTGTGCCAATACCTTATCTTTTCCATTTTTTCCTCTACAAACTTACGAAGTTGTGGTAATTGCTGGCTCTCTTTGTATTGGTTTGCTATGTTAACTTTTAAGTTACATACTTTGTATGGTTGTATATAGTTGATATTGTTGAATAATCTGTGAGTTAATTAAAATAATTAATATAATTATAAATAATTATAATCTTCAGAGTATAGACGATGTAAGAAATACTGGCTTATGTGTGCTAAAAATTTTTAAATAGGTCATTAATTGATAACGCCCTTCAATTTTTAATGGTTAAATGTGGTTTGAATACTGTCTTCCTTGTGTTCCCAATAGGATTTGATCTGCAGAAGGAAAATATCCCTATTATTTCAAAATGATGGTCACAATATTTACTTATTTGAGAAATCTATTTTGATGTTAATTTAAATAGAGAATATATGCCTCGAACATTTTACAGCGGTAACATTAGCATAGATTCATCAAATGTAAATATTGCAAGTTATATGTAAAAATCTAATCTTTTTGCAATTTTGTTTATGTAACTTTTTGATATGTGGAAAAGAGGGATGCGAGCTTAATTCAACTCAGAGCCAAATGTGCTTTTGTTGTTTCAAATTTTCGATGCCAGAAGCATATACACCTGCACCTGTTGGTAATTACGAGCAAGCCAGCCTTTGCCCAATCCCAGGCCTCTGCTTAAAATTTTTTCACTGGAACTAAATGATGTTGCCATTTTTATTTTTAGGTTTGCTGGCATGGGTAATCTCATTAAGGTGCTAACCAGGGACATAGACCACAATGCAGCACATTTTTTCTTGGACTTTGAAAGTAAGTCTCTTTAGCCCTTCACAGCTGGTGCATAATGGTAAAGGTGAAAGCTTGATTATACTCACACCGCAGTGAAGGCCAGCCAGAATATTTGTTAATCAAATATGGGGAATCAGAGTTTGCATGATTTTTTTCTTAATCGTAGGCAAACATCACCATCATATGTATAATTCTTTAGTTTTTCATTTGCTAAAATCATGTTGAGTCTGTAGCCAGTGCTGTCCTTTCATTAGTCCATGAAGCAAGCAGCCTTATGATGAACATTCTAACAGTATGCCTTAGTGACTATGCTATCATCCTACGAGTATTTTATAAGAAATCAGAATTGTGCTGCATATCCAGAATCAAGACTTAACCTCCACAAATTATTAACAATCCAAATTTGGTTAGAAATACACGCTTTATTTTTAATGGCATACAGGAAGTAAGTTTAACATTCTGCTGTCTTAAGGTAAAATGGAAAGGTGAGCTGTGGCCCAAACTCTTGACATTTGGCTTTGAAATAAATTGTTTCCGTGCAATATTAAACAAGATTACCTGTGAATAATTTTCAATCAGAAATTTCTTTTTCAGAATACTAGCACTATTGGAATACTTAAAGAATCTTTCATTATAAGGCCATTAATGAACCTTGTCTTGAGAACTTTGAGAAGAATTAGAGCAGCAATTGTGCCATTGTGTACAGGAAAACCACATTTCCCCCCTAGGTCCTACATACCAACACCTTGAGAACCCGGTTGCTGCCTGGCAGAGCACAGTCTGGGTAACCTGAAGGACCAATTCATGGCCTAATGAACATTTTCCCTGTTACTATTGAAAAAGAATAAATTTCGGATGTTCTTTTTTATAAAGGGATATTTTCTCTTTTCTCATTCTTGTCTTGACAGGTACCTTAACATGGGGAATCTTCTTAAAGTTTTGACATGCACAGACCTTGAGCAGGGGCCAAATTTTTTCCTTGATTTTGAAAGTGAGAAGATGATTTTATATCTATTTCTGTTTGCCTGCAGTAGACTGCGTTTGTCTTGCACTAAATGAATGTTTCCACTTTGCCATCTTCTTAACTGCTTTGCATGACTGAGCTATGAATTGTTTGAGTAAAATTTCTGGTGCCTTCTAGAACTGGAAGTCAATTTACAGATTAGATGGTGATAAAATGCTTTCATTTGAATTTTTATAAGAGATTCATATCTCTTAGTTGGACATTATTTTATAATTTGAGATCTCTAATGAAAACATTTGAGATTCTCTAATGAAAACATTTTTACGAAAAAATTTTAGTGGAAAGGACAAATGCTACTTCAAGATTTGTTAATAGAAAGCAATATTTGGGGAAAAATTATGGCAGTTGAGAAAAATTAACTATTAACTCCTTGTACCTTTTGAAGTATTTTAATACAAATCTGTTCATGAAGGCCATTCAAAGCTCAGTAATTTGGGCATAATATTAAAAGGTAAGTGTGAACCTTAATTATTTAATCTTTGCAGATAATTAATTTGAAAAGTTAAGAAACTCATTATATGTATGTATTTCAGGAATCTATTTTTTCTAAGTAAATAAAAAGAAAAATAATGGGTTCACAAACCTTTAAGTAATTTGCCTTCTGTTTGTTTTATGTTGCATGACCTATTGTAATATGGTCTTAAGAGTGGCAGGTAAGTGTCATTGACCCCCATGCATGGTGAAAAGCTTTTGCTTTTTTTGGCTGTTGCTATTGCTTTAGCTTGTCTGGTTGTCAAATTGAGAGGAATGATATTAAATTGATGTTTTAGTGTGAATGTTGCTATTTTTAACCAATCATTAGAAAATTGTTAGGAAAGGGTGAAGAGACAGCCTTTACATTGTAAATCATGCGATCCCCCTGCATTATCACCAAAGATGAAAACATGTAAACAGATTTTTTAAATACTTAAAATGTAAGATCTTTTCTGATTTTAAAAACAAAATAAGCAAATCCCTTAAAATACCCAGAGAATCATTGCATTTTCCATCAACTTCAGTTTATGTGATATGCAATTCACTCTACTTCATGAATAATTCATATATTTTTTTTTCTTTAAACCAGGATAGTTCATATGAACACATCAATTTATAGCTTATCTCCATTTTATGGATTAATTTATGGTCTCTGATATTTTTCTACTTTTACATTCCTATAAATGTTCTGTTATGTTTTGGGTACTGTCTGCAGCTAGCAAAGAGCAGTAATGTCAATATCAGGACCATAATAAATGGCTGGGTTTTTAGGGGAACATGTCATTAAATGACTTGGTTTTCTTGACCCTTCTCAACAATTTAACAGTGCTGTTTTAAGTGCATGTTTAGCATGAATTTTAATCCGCTTGGGGATGTTGAGCAGATTGCTGACTTGACGATTATTCTTTCAGATGAGGCCACTTACATTACAGCTGTATTTTAGTTTATTTGCATCTGTTTCAAACTTGGTCTTGTATATTTTTCTGTTGTTCTGTCTCCTTTTTACTCTGTTTCAAATTCCTTACATTTGCAGAATCTTGGCTTTGATACAGTCAAGATCTTGTTCAAGACTTGGCACTTGATCTTTTTATAAACCTAGCAGTATGTTGTGGTGAAGTGAGAAGCATGAATTTACTTTAGTATTTAAAATATTATTTAGTCTTGGTTTTACAGCGGGGTGGGAGTGGGTTGGGGGAGGGGGTTGGATCATCCTTAAAATTTAAATAGCTAATTCAGTGGCAGGAAAAGGTTAAAATTGCTAACAACATTAGCAGCAATAGCCAATAATGGAGAATTATATAGACATCAATAAAGCAACAACAGCAGTTTGCAGCCAAAAAAAAAAAAAAAGGAATTATATATAAAGCATTAACTTCTTAAAGGCAGATATAAATTTGAAAATATTTGTTGCCTATCAGCCAATGTAGAACTTTTGGTTTGGCACTTACTCATATGCCATGAGAGAAATTCAGTGAGCGCAGACTGTATACTCGGCCAGAGTTTGCCTGGTGTTTCTTATTTACCGTATTTGCCGGCGTATAAGACGATTTTTTGGCCCTGAAAAATATGCCTCCAAGTGGGGGGTCGTCTTATACGCCAGGTACACTT